TGGGGAAGGAGCTGGGAATGGCCCACCTGAGACCTTGCCCTGGATCTGCTCTCACTTCCCACGGAAACTGGGCCGTCACTGAGACTTCCAGACGTCAGCGCCCAAGTCTAAAAATGGAGGGTTTGACTAAACCGAATGATCGCTAAAGTTACTTCCAGTTCTAATGTCCACTGACGCCAGAAGCTGCGCCAGCTTGCTGCACTGGTAGCTGGGGCTGGGCCTCCGGCGACAGGGCTCAGTGCTCACAAGCAGTCGCAGGTGCGGCAGACCTGACCAGGTAGAGCACGCCGCTGGCGATGGCCGCTGGGGGACCTCTGGGGGCCGCTGGTGTCAGAAGCGACCCTCTCTTCCCTGATGTAACCCCGATTGGCCTTTGTTTTAATTGCCTCTGTCTTTAATTGCTTTTCTATATCATTTTGCTTAATTTGGAAGAATTTTTTTAATGAGCTTGAATGATCTAATTGAGCCTAAATGTGATTTCCTTGTAGCATTGTTTATTGGTGTGTAAACAGCAGATCCCAGAGCCAGCCAAATACAGTGGGAGCTGGGAATGGTGTATCTCTGGGGGGAGTTCAAGTTGCTCGTAATTATTCTGCGACCTCGGAAGTGTAGTTTTTTTAACTGAATTTATTAATCATTCTTTACAGCAGTTGATACATAACTTTTTGAAAATACTCATAGATATTAGAAATTATCATGTTTTTTCAGGGTGTTTTGGGTTACATACGTGTTACATGAGTTTGCTTTGGCGATGTTAAACAATTAGAAGCACATTAGATGGAAAGTGAGAATCTTCTTAGTCCTCCGAATCCCACTCTCTCTCCGGAGAGGATCCCTCTTAGCCGTGGATGGGCGTGCAGTCCGGACGGTCTTCTGCATGTTGACATGTGTTTGCGTGTCAGCCACGGATCAGGGAAGGTTTGCACGAGTGGGGCTCATGGTCCGTGCCCCTCTGTATAGTGTCAACACTCGTGCTTCAGCATGGCGACCCAGCCCTGTCACCACACGGGCCAGTCCCACATCGTTACTTGTAATGATCTAGCCAGCCCACCACGGACAGTTTTCATTTTGGTCGCACACAGTACTGCACTGAGCGGTCATTCGTGTATCCGTGTTAGATGTGACTATAACATGTTTGGTGGCGCTAGGAGCTATAGTTGTCAGGCGACGGTACAGACGTGATTGTCACACACTGCCCAGTTCCAGAGGGTGAGGTGTTCCCCTCACTGCCGTGCAAGCCCGTGTGAGTCCTGCTCCTGGCCTCTCAGCACTCCTGCGGACAGGCGTACCCGCCAATACCCTGTCCTCGGTGTCAGGGTCCCACTAGCTCTCGCTGAGAGCCCACAGGGGGAAAGGAGTTTCCTTTCCTGTGTTGGTTTTGAGAGTCAGTGAGGTGCTGGCTTCTGATATGGGGGTAAGCGTGGCAGGAGCCAGCAACCAGAGGCCAGCTGGAGACAGACCACGTGCATGATGTTTTCATCCACGAGAGCTCCACATTACTGACCGCGTTTTGGGAAATCCTCGCTTGTTAACATGCTGGAGTCAGGGGTCCCACACGGAGCGGAGCCGTCCCGCACGGGAGGCTGCACACGAGGTTGAGTTGGAACGTCCTCATTCTCAAAATACATGGCAGCACTCAGAGGGATGGAGGTTTGGGGCAAATGTGCAGCAGTTTAGATGAGAAATATGTGATGAGGACATGCACCCATATTTAAAAATGCAGAGAAGGAAGGTTCAGACCCCGCATGTGTCTCGACGTCCTGTGGTTTCATCTGGAGAGACCCTCATCCGCTCACTGATGTGGCCGTACGTTCTCACCTTACCTTCCTCATCATCTTTGTCTTCTGACAACGATCTCTTGTTTTACTCTGAAAAACTGAAAACGGACCGGTTCCAAGTCTCATCACCAGCTAGACACTGAGCATGTTCTAAAGCAAAGAACACAAGCAAGGGCGTGGGTTTATTAAAATATCTTGAATTTGGCACAAAGGGAAGCATCGCCTCTATTCACGCAGGAAAGACGGATGGAGAGCCCACCACGTACGAGCAATTTAGTCATCTCAGCGCCGTCCCTGGGCGGTGGGATCTCATTCTCCGGGCAGGCGGGCAGCTGCGGGGAGCACCCACGGGGGCCAGGCCCGAGCCCGCCTGCTGTCACTACACACACTCGTCCCCTCACATCAAGCACACAGAAGACCTTCTAGAGAGTTCTGCCTGTTTGGAGTGCACTGAGCATGGGTCGCGGAGAGCAAACAAAACCAGGTCATGGGCCTCCGGAGTTTCCCCGGAGACCCACCTGAGCCCCTGCGCCTGCTGACTGGGAAGGATTCACTCCCACCTGCCTCATGAGGGATTGTCTGGTTCCTACTGTTCGATGTCGTCAGTCTGAGGAGCAGCACTGTCAAAACACGTCCCTCACTTTCTAACCAATCTCACACAGAACTTTCAGGAGAAAGGAAAGGCAGGAGGCATGTCCTCTGATAGAGAATCCTGTGGCGGAGACGCAGATTGCCAGAGAGACACCTGTATGTGTCATTTAAACACGACCGAGTGAATCGGAAGGTCTCTCTGACGTGAAGGAACCTCAGGGAAGCGATGACGCAGGGACAGGTCATCCAAGCCCAAGGGGCTGGCGGCTGCTGGGGACACCTCGATGGCAGGGCAGGCGCACCTGGGCAAGAGGTCTGCGCCCACCTGTGGCCGGGGCGTCGTGCAGCAGGAAGGCGCTGTCGGGTGATTCCTGCTGTCACTCAGCTGCCGTGCGGACGTGTAGATGACGCGCGACGGTCCGAACAGAGCGCTCACAAGACAGGAATGTGCGCTTCTCTTGTGAACGGTCCCCTGGCCGGGGGTGTCTGTCCCGTGCCAGAGCAAGGCAGGGGACGTTGGTATTCTGGTTTGGGGGAGTTAAAGGAAATACTTTTCATTCTATCCTGGCCCTGTCATTGCCTGAGAGAGAACCTGAATTCAGAGTTTCAATGGCCCCAAAGTGTTCACACCAGTACTGGCTGACATGGCTCCTGCTTATCCAGAAATCATGTATAAGCCGGACGGGCGGCAGGTCACAAATATTGCACGAGCATGACGACTGTATTTTTAAACGATTGTATTATCACTTCAAAACCGTAACATCAAGCGTCTACGTACCTGCCTTAGGAGGATCCGCGGAAAGAGCGGCGTGGGTTTCAGGACGTCGCGATCGTGGGGCTGGTCTGCTGTACCCGCTAAGCGCACGTTGGTCCTCAGCCCTGTGTCTAGTGGCTGAGCACCCGTGTGTGCTCACGGCTCGTCATGCAAGGGTGAGGGCTCCGCACGCTGAGCGATAGTGACCAGGGTGCAGGGCTGAGGACGCACGAGACATTGCTGTTCGCCCCCCAGGGACACTCACCTGCAAAGCCAGGGGGCCTGAAGGGGGCGCGTCTAATGTGAGGAGGTCGGGGGCACCTGCTTCTGTCACCAGAAGTTAAGTGTACAGACCATACTGTGCACAGAAGAACAGTTAGTGTTGAGAAGACTTTCCTGCATTTCTATCGTGTGCACGCGTGTGGGTGCGTGTGCACGCGTGTGGGTGCGTGTGCACGCGTGTGGGTGCGTGTGCACGCGTGTGGGTGCGTGCATGTGTGTCCATTTGTGTGCACTCTGAGCACAGGCGGCCAGGAAAAGACCATAAAACACACTGTTCTCCTCAAAGATTTTCCAGGATAGACGTCTCTGGGCGGCCGCATATGAAACTACGGGTCACAATTTGTATTAAAAGGTTAATGTACCTAAAAACATCACATGAGAATTCCAAACTAATGACTCCTGACTTTGATACGCAGAAAAACACACTCGCGCTCATTTTATTTTTCAACCTTGAGTTTTCAGGGTACTCTTAAAACCTTTCTAGCTCCCTGTGCATATTTCCAAATTACTCTGTTCCTTCTGTGCTTGTTTTGGTAAATTCTTATTAGGGAAAATAACGACATTTGCTATGGTTGCATTTTATAGGCTGCCCGTGGATTTCCTAGGAAATGGCGTGCTATCTTATTTCAAATCCCACTTGCCAAGCAGGCTGAATGTCTCCGTCATCGTGCAGTAACGTGCAGGAAGGGAAGTACAGTATCTTTTAGAGGATTTATGGTAACTCTGCAGAATGTTAGCTGGTGGGGAGCAGCGCGAGCCCTGGGGCTCTCTTCATTTGCCTGACACACTTCACTGCTGCCCATTAACACTTCTCTGTTATTGCCACAGACTCGACTTAATGAGCTTCTCTGAATTTGGAGGTTTGCACCAGAAACAATAGCTTTACAATGGAGACACCTAGCTCTCTCCACTTTCTGATATCCTGTCCATCTATTTTTGTAAACAAAATAAACTATCTCCTTGACAGTAGAGTTCGAAATGACCTGGGTATTTTCTTTTCCAATTAGAATAGTCAGTAATTCCTAATCCAGAGACAATAGTGCAGAAAACCCGGATAGAGAGTTAATAAATTCCAAATTTGCATTAATGAAGATAATGTCTTTTGTTGTTCTTCCCCTAAAATAAAATTGAGTTGACATCTAGAAAAACCCTTGCCATCAACAGACTGTGTTTTGTTATGAGTGAAATCACATTATTTCCAAGAAATAGTTACACATCTCAAATATTTCTCACTTATTAAATTGTTTCTTAATTGTATCCCAGTGTTAAAAAGGCAGTAACCCCACCACTGGCTGGTGATCAGTCAGTGCAAATGTTCTGTGCACCGTTTCCCTTCACACGTACACATGCGTCCAAACTGGTTACAAATCTTGGATTTCGAAGTAACTGAACTACATGTTTAAAAGCGTTTCCTACTTGTCCGCAAAGCGTTTCCTACTTGTCCGCTGTGGCCTTTCCTGTCGAGGCTCTGAGTGAAACGTGAGTGTGAGCACACGCGTCCTCGTGAGCTGCTCCTCACCACCATGGAGCTCTGTGCTGTAGGGCTGGCCCTGCCCCTCCAGTTAGTGATGTCGCCCTGTTGTTTTGTCTTCTAGAAAATGAGCCCAAGGGAGACTTGGTGAAGTCACGTCGAGGGGCATCTCCAACCCTGACCTCCTGAGGAAGCAGATCGGATCCAAGGAGCACCCAGGCGACCGAGTGCAGGTACTGGCGGTGGCAGCTCTGGGGGGCATGGACGGGCGTCCTGTCCCCTGGGTCCTCCCCATTTGCTGCTCCAAATGGCCACCCTTCCCAGCTTCCTGGTGCTTCCTGGCTTCTCGGGAGAGTTGGAAGTTCTGTCGTACACCACCTCCCGCCAGACAATTCATGATGACAAGAGCCGCTGGCAGTTAAACCAGATGAAGCCTTTGTTACTCTCCCAGTGACGCTGCATCGCTGGGGTGGGCTGTGTGTCCCTCTGGGCGCTGTGAGGCGTCCTGGGGGTTGCGAGCAGGGACGCAGTGGCAATGGGACCCTCAAATGGAAGGGCTCCATTTCAAGTCATTGCTAAAAACCCCACACTTGCTGCAGGAGGGCTTTGTAAAGTTCATCCGCTGTGGTTTGGAGAGTCGGGGTGGGGTTTGGCCGATTGCTGCCTGGGCAGCACGTGGTTTTTTAGAGACGCTCATGAGCTGGAGGTTGACATGATTGTAATGTGAGCAAAATCTCGCCCATGTGAAGTCTCCGCTTCTGAATGCGTACATGGAACTGATGTCCAAAGCTCTGGTATTATCTTCTCAATACCCGCATTCAGGAGTCCATTTTGCACATGTTACTTTGCTGGAGAAAATAAGACGACTCTGGCGGGATGGTCATTTCTTAGGAGGCTCTATGAGGGAAACTCCGGCATGCCTTTCAAGGTTCACGGTGCGATGGGAATTCATCCGTCTGCCGGCTCCCCATTTGCCTGTCTGATGACAGAACTACTCACCACTCCGTGGAAATTAGGGCAGGCATTGGTTTCCACATGCTGCAGCCCTGTGGGTGTTGCCGTCTCTCCGGGTTTCATGAACTAGCGTGGCAGGTCACCGCTGCTCTGGTTGTTCTCAAGTGCTACCCCGTTCTCTTTCCCTGAAGAGCCCGTTGCACCCATCGGTCCGGTTTGGGAAAGGCTAGTTATGGTGAATCACCATTTCCCTGGAGTTTTTAAAAACCTATTCAGCCGAGCTTTGTTAAAGTCCTGCTTGACTCTGAAGTCGGTTAATGTTTCTGGCAGACAGGCTGTGCTGTTCTATCAAACCCCGTCGCGTTTTGGTCTATGTAAAAGAATGTTTGATGGAATATATCGCTGGGTCTAATTTTCAAATGGGGATTCATTGAATTGGCATTTCTGGCTTGGAGTTAAATGTGTACATCAAAACGATGGTCACCAGCTCAGGGTCCTATGACACATTCAAATGCAGATCTCGCCATGAATTAGCAAAATGAAACAAAAAGGAATAAGCTAGTTTTCAAAGAGAAATCCACGTCTACACCCAACCGACTGGGCCTTGAGTAGGCTCCTCGGTTGAGGGATCTCAGTGACAGTGACCAGGCAGGTGGTTGGACTTGGTCAGGGAAGGTAAGGAGAGTCTGAGGTCTTGGTCCCCAGCCTGTCTGTCCTCTTCTCGTGTCTGTCGCCATCACCAAGCAGGCCCCGGAGGTGCGTTGTCTCTGGATGGGAGGGGAGTGAGGCAGCCCCCTGACCGTCCCATGGGCTCCGGTGGCAGTAATGACAGCAGGAGCACAACTGGCACGTGTGGGACTGGCGCCAGTCTCTCCCCAGCAGAGCGTTGGTGATCCCACGCCTGACATCAGCGCAGGAAATCTCTGCAAAGCCCAAGGAACACGTGTGCGTATCCTCTGTGATTTCCGGAGAGTTCTCCTCCGCACTGTGGTCCTTTACAGAGTAGTGTTTGGTCCTGAGGGGATAATCAGCCCGTCCTCCCTATGTGTATGTCACAAGCGCAGGTCCCTGGGTGCGGACGAAATAAGGCGGTGGGTTGAGATAAGCAGGGAAGCCTTCCAGGGTGGGAATACTCATGTGTGAGTGCAACAGCGTCCGTGAGCGAAGTCCGCGCCGTCACATGACCGCTGTCACATGACCGCCAGGAAGTCCATAAGTCATCATTTGCATTGATCAAGGTCACAGACTCTTTCTGTAAAGGACCAGACGGTAAGTACCATTGGCTTTGTGGGCCCAGCGGCAAGTACAACACTGCCATCGTGATGGGAGAACAGCCACAGACCATATGGAAACAAACGGGCCTGGCCGTGTTCCAATAAAACTTTATTTACAAAGTCAGCAGCAAGCGGACTTGGCCCTCAGACGGTAGTTTCCCAACCCATAGTAAATACCTAAATTAAGATGTCCTCGATAACCACAGTCATTTTTGGAAAACAGAGTATAACTCTTACTCTCTTCTCAAAATTTATTACTTGCGAACTCACACAATAGTGTCTAAAATTATTGTCTGCTGGCACGTTGCTCCACAGACAGACACGCTGCTGAGTGCGAGCTGAGCTGTCAGGATGGAGCTGGAAGAAGCTGCAAGAAGGCCAGATTCTCTCTCCGCAGAAGTCAGGGCAGAGCACGGGAAGGCTGCGAGAGTGGAAGAGGAGAGCAAGTTCCAAGCATTTTTAGGCCTACGCCAATCTGCCTGCCAAAAGATATCTTTAAATTATCTTGAAAACTGCATGGATGTAAGATCTAATGCAAACCAACACACACAGGTACTGCCCACCTGGGCACACCCGGGGGTCAGGAGTCAGACCCTGATGCTGAAAGAGCGCTAACGCCTGGGGCGCTCAGAGGTGCTGGTGCATACGCCTCCGTGCAGGTCCTGGGCTTAGGATGGAGCAACACACACTACCTGGTAACACGTGAGCCATTTGGTCTGCCTTCCCATGCACCCTGTAACTCCAGAAGGAATCACAGTGAGCACGGGGGCTGGAATGCTGACCACAAGACAGGATTTTCTAAAATAGCTGTAGATTTTACATCAGAAGCCCCATGAAGGGATTAACCTTCAGGAGGACTTTAATGATGCCGTAGACTATTTTTAAAGGGCTATCTTCTGTGTGTCTCCAACTTACCTTGTTTGGGTGTGAATTAGTATAAATCATTTAGTTAAAATGCAGAACGTTAACTGATATTTTCCACTGAAACGATTTGCTACAATGCATGTATCTTTAAAGCAGCACTTTGACAATTAATAAATTATTTCAGAAGAGATCAGGAGAGAATGCAGAGTAGAAATTGGTAGAAACACCAGTCACAGACATGGGGCAGTCAGTTGCCCCCAGTAGTTAAGAAAGGAGAGGTCTGTTAGGTTCACATGTAGTCAGCGTTGGGCAGAAATTTGGGTAAAAAGTTGGAAGCAATCAGACCAGGGAGCAAATCCCGATTCTGCCGCACTATCTGAAACTTTGGAAACGGTGCCTAACTCCTGGAATCTGAGCCTCAGTTTCCCCATAAGTAAAATGGGCATAATAATAGAGTTTCTTCTTAATAGGACCATTATAAAGATTAACTGATGTACAGAGTCTATAAAGCAGTGAATTTAGTCATTGAAATGGAAGGTAATTTTTAATATGTCAGGCACCTGTGCTGTTTTTGGAATGGACAGTGGGTTACCTTTAAATTGCAGACAGAGGTACGCTGATTCCCTTTCAGACTGGGACTCTCGGAGGAACGGCATCACCAAGGACATCTCCTGGTTCTGGGGTCTGGGAGTCAGCATTAGAAAGGGTAAAGGGTCGAGGTGGATCCAGGCTTTCTGATCTCTGGGAACAAACTCTCGGGAAAGGGAGAGCTGCTGGCAGACAGCCAACCCATGAGCAATCCAGAAACATCACTTCTGGATTTGACGTAAAACAGTCAGGACGTCCCTCTCCATCTTGGCTCATGCATCCGAAGGTTTTGGTGTCAGCTTAGCATTTGGAGGGCGTGGGTGTTCTGACATCGAGACATGTCCTGTTCATACTCCAAGCTCTTGGCATCATGCTGGCCGTGTGCCTCGGGCTGCTGGCGTTGGTTTCACCAGGGAATAAGTGGATTATTGCGCCATGTGAAGACATGTTATCGTGTGTTTGTAACACAGAGAAGCTGAGAGAGAACCGCCATGAGTGCATGTTCTGAGATGTGAGAAGTAGGAGACACACTCTCTGTACTGTGTCCCAAGGTCATGTAGTGAAGGTGTGAAATATTTGCATATATACACTCATGCATGCACACGTATACACATCGATTGTGTGTGTGCATATGAACAAAACACATATGCACGCATATACATGTGTGCACACACATCTGTATACATGCACATATAGGCATATATGCACACACATATACACACATACACATGCATACAAGACATACATGTACGTGCATAGACACACATATGTATATACACATACATACGGGCGTGTGTGTTGTGAGGGCATATACATGTACGCGTATGTTTGCACGCATGCACATATATACATGCATGTTCCTGTACATATATACATCTACATACACATATACACATGCATGCCTGTTTTTGTTTTTGTTTTTTTTTACTGGGGGTCAAGGGTGGCAGGAAACTTTACTTCTCGCTGTGTGTCGGTGTTTTCCACTTACTTCCCTGGTGTGTGCGTTTAGTCCCACCTTAAATGAAATACGGTGCGTCCACTCAAGGCGTCACCTTTGGCCTTTTCCACCAAACACACCACTCATGGAGAGGCTTACGAGGAGTCAGACCTCACTTTTCTTTGTTTGGCCCCATAACATCTTGCAAAATGCCCACTCGTGAATCTGAACACGGCCATTTGTTTTCTTGGGCCATTCTGGTTCTATGTTTCTCATAGATAAAGGAGGAGGGAGGACAATTAAGGATATTTAAAGGAAATAGATGCCTATTTTTTAATGTAATGAATTGTTTAATATAATGAACTGTTCAATCAATGACTGTCATTGTCCAGTCACCAGCCAGTCACATAAATGTGTGATTTTGTGCATTTATTCAACCCATTTTTGAGTTAACTACATGCCCAACATTACAGATATGAAAAATGGAATTACAGAACTCTGACACCAAGTTGTTTATGCTTAACCATCTAATGGGCAGGGGTGCACATATACCAAAACAAACAAACAAACAAACAAAACAAAACTGTGAGAAGAGCTAGAAAAGTGGGAT